CTCTCTCTCTCTCTCTCTCTCTCTCTCACACACACACACACACACACACACACACACACACACACACACACACACACACACACACACACACGGCCACCGTTGATCCCCGCAAAGCAACGGTCCGATAATGTTGTTTGGTCCCCCGCGCCCCGCGCGACGGGACCAAAAGCACAAATCCCCCTGCCCCGAAACCGCCTCTCGGTGTGCCGGTGTGAAACGACACGACGAACCCCGAAACCGCGTCCCGACAGGTACCTGCCGCTAGGCCCACCGCGCCCCTCCCCCCGATATGCCACACCAGAGAACTGGGTCTCTCGCGGGACCGTCTCGTGAGACCCGGGTTTTGCTTTAGAGTATTAGGGATGGAAAACGGGGCGACCACTTGCTATGGATCGCGGAGATCCAGACATACTGTGGGACTGCACCGGTAGAGCCGGAAAGTGAAGTGGCTTTTTCGACTTCTTGTCTTGGTGAGACCGCCAAGGAATGGGTATTGTCTGAGGTCAACGCTGCTGGCTTCGCGGACATCGGTGAGCGGGAAAAGACCCTGAGTCTCCGAGAATTTCTCCAGAAGATCAAGGAGAGATTCTTGGATAAGACGACGACCGACAAGGCTTTCGAAGAGCTCACCACCATAGGGCAAAAACGTTGGACCTCTGTAGATGCACTATCTCTTGAATTTGATCGGTTGTTGCAGGTACCTGAATTGAACCTGCACGACAACCAAGTCCTTTATATCTTCTCACGAGCTTTGCCCGAACCCATTCAAGGACATCTTATGGATGAGGCCAAATCTGGTAAGTATAACTATCGATACTTCCATGACCTCGCGCTCCAAAGGGAGCAAATGACTGCACAGGTAAAAGGGACATATGCATCTGTGGTTAAGACAGGACCGGTTAATGGGTATGGTAAGCGGGTCCTTTGGCGACAAAAGCGATAGGACCATATGCTCGTAGTTTTCGACGATGACACCGTGGAGAAGTTACCACTCAAAGAACCTGAGGGAGGAGGTGGCACCGACAGCAGTAAGTCTGGGAAGGGTGACGTCACTGCTGTCATGGCCAACAAGGGAGGTCAGGGTCAGTAGAAAAAGAAGAGAAGGCCACGCTCGTTCCCTGAGAATCCCGACATAGCATTCGGGAAGCCATGGGAGAAAATGAATATGACACGCGAGGAATGACAGTCGAAGATGGACAATCGCCAGTGCCTCAAGTGTGGCACCGCAGGTCATGTGATAGCCTGGTGCCCGCTCATCAGGAGTGGTACGACAACACTCCCGATGTTGCCGGATCAGGCTGCCTCACGAGCAGCCACCCTTGGGTCCAGGGCACATGCGGAAGTTGTGAGTCCTCTCTTCTCGTTTTCGAGGACCTCAATGCCCGACTAGTTCCACAGCTGGGCCCCATTGTTCAAGGACAAGTGCCCGTCACTTCTGCGGTTTTCTCTCCGGCTGTTTGCAGTTTGGATTACACGGTCAACTTCCACCAGCGGGCGATTACCGTTTGCAACGCCTTTGGCGTGGAAGTCCCGTGTTCCTTCCCTCCTCCGCACCCTCCGATCTGTTGCCAAGTTGTTTCGGCCATGACTTTTTTCGAGGCCACTTGTGATTTCACACGGTCGAGGAAATCACCCTCTATCTTTGTTTCACTTGTCATGGTGACCAAATTTTCACCTATGCATACAGTTTCACATCCTTGCGTGCGTCGGTTACTCAACGACTTTGTGGACATCCTTCGTCATGGCGACCGACTCTTCACCTACGGATTCGTTATTGAATTCTCATGTGTATCACTTACTCGACGAGCTTGGATATTCTTTTTCATTTCGTCACAGCGACCGACTCTTCACCTACGGATTCGTTTTCTCATGTGTGTCGGTTACTTGACGAGTTTCTTGTTTCACTCCGTCACGGCGACCGACTTTTCACCTATGGATTCGTTTCCGGATCTTATGTGCATCGGTTCCTCGGCGAGGTTTCTTACTTCATTTCGTTGCGTCGATCGACTCTTCACCTGCAGATTCCTTACGGATCTTGCGGGCCTCGGCTACTCAACAAGTTTGAGTAAGGTTTCATTCCGGACCAGGGGATTTCAGTTGCGGCCATTCACATTTGTCCATGTGTGGGGCTGGACCAGGCATTCGTCTGTTTGTGCCTGGCCCAGTCCTCAAGACCCCGCTGCATCAGCAGGATTGCCTGGACGTCCGGTAGGGACCCAAGCAGGCCGTTTTTGGCCAGGATGGTAGGACCAGGATTTGGGCCTGCCATCAGGACCACCGATCGGACATCAGATCCGACGGTTCTGATCACAGACCAAGGACTGCTCAGCCAGGCCCAACTGTACATAGCTGGGCCAGTCCTCCACTTTGAGGACACATTCGGGGTGGCGCCTCAGTTGGGCGTCACACTGCTCGAGCAGCGCCAGTTTGGGGAGAGCTGTGATGGAGCAGCGTTAGAGGAGTACAGGGGTAGGCTGGAGTGGAGAGACGTCCACATGGAAAGAAAGAGACTTACCTGGGTGCCATAGCTGGGACTTCATATCGGTCAACAGCGACCTTCATCGCGAGTCATCACCTTCGCTGGTCAGTATTCATCACATCATCATCAAGAGCATGTGAGAGAGAAGAGTTTTTCATCTCCTTTTTCTCCTGATTCTTCTCCGCCTCTCCATAGCCACTATTCTTCTTCTTCTCCTCCTCCTTCCTCTTTTCTTCTTCTTCTCTAGAGGGAGAGAGAGAGAGAGAGATAAATTTCAGGCAGTGACTATTTCGGCCCGGGGAGCTCAGGATCTGATTCGACATTTTTTAGGACAGACATTGGTTGGACATTTGACGGAGAGACTATTTCTTGGACGACTACGAGTTCTACTCTTGTCCTATTTCCCCTCTCCATCGTTGTCTCTCCTCCCTCTTCATCATCCGTGGTTTCTCCCTATGTGTGTGCGCAAGGAGCGATCTTCCTTCTATGTATGATTTCCCTCCTTGCTGTGTGACGTGTGTGATGATGATTGTGCGAGTCGAGTCTGGATCTGATATGTCAGTTCGTATCTTTGAGTCTTCCACTGCGCTACATTGGATTATCTCCTTGTGTTTCGAGTCCTGCTCATCACACCTGCACCGCTCATCTTCAGATAAGCATGCATCACTCTCTCTCTCTCTCTCTCTCTCTCTCTCTCTCTCTCTCTCTCTCTCTCTCTCTCTCTCTCTCTCTCTCT